GCAAAAAGTTCTTTTATGTGGGATGTCAAACGCAAAGAAAGGAAGGGGTTTACACTGACGAGGGTTGAGTGCGTGGATGAAAGTGGGCAGACGAGCAAATCAAATGTAGTGCATCTTCCTTCATCCATTAGTAATGTAGTCTGCAATGCCAGTAATACTGGGTGCACGGATGTAATTGAGGTGGACGATGTTGACGTAAAACCAAAGAAGAAGTCAGGATTTGACATTAACAACAGACACGCGGTGTGGAAAATGATGACAGCTGCGGAGAAGAAGAAGGTAACCGACGCGTACAATAGTGATGGTGATAGGTATGTACAGAGTAAGTGTTTAGGTTTATTGTTGCTAATGTAATACGTTTTTTTGTGTGATGACGTGTGTTGTGTGTTGTATGCAGTGCTGTGATGTGGGATGGGCAGGGTCATGGTGTTGCTGTGTATTTCACCGATGTGAAATCACTTGTGCATCAATCTGAGATACGGGTGAATGTAAGTTGCATACATGGGGATTTATTCAATCTGTTTGATGTTTATTGTTTTTTTTTTTTTCTAACCATGCAATAATCCAACATGTGAAAATGTCACAGGTGATCGATGCATATGCTGTTCTGCTAAATTCTGAGTAAGAGAGGATAAATGAGGGCGTTGATGCTGGAGAAAAATCTTATTTCTTCAGTAGTATATGTCTAGTAAGTTTGTGACTGTGAATGTTATGTTTGTTTATACGATGTAATAATGTGTAACATGTTCGCATGGTGATGCAGGACATGATGAAGAACAACAACGTACGGTCAAGGAATAGGTATGTGTTGGACAACCTGCGTGCATCTAAGCTCTTCCGTTGCGTACATTTCCCGCTTTGCAAAGACTCACACTGGACGCTGGTCGTGTATGACACTGAGGATGGGAGTTGGAAGCATTTTAACTAGATGAGGCCGAGGAACGGAATTGTGGATGTACACTACATGGAGGCACTTTCCCTGGTAAGATTTGAACATGTTAAATTGTATGGGTGTGTGTGTCCACATGACAACTGTATTGGTTGACTTATGTATGCGGTGGTGTAGAAAGACATTGTGTCAGAGGTGCAGAGGCAAACCATTGGAAATGAGTCGATTGATACCCAGGACTATGACCCGCCGTTGGAGTCAGTTGCAGACTGTCCACAACAACGTCCCGAATCGTAAGCACATGTTAATTTTCTTAACGACAAACCCTGGTACAGTACATGAATTGTCTTTATTTGTACTTATGACATTAATAACATATGATGTGAAATTATTGGATAGGCTTGACTGTGCTGTCATTGTGTGTGCTGTGATGCGCTAGTATGTGCGCCATGTGAAAGTTAGAAGATCGCTACATGGGGGCGACTGCAGTGTGTTGCGGGCGATCATGGTGAAGTCTTTTGTGAATGACCCGCTGCGTGGATTGAAGAACGATCTGGATTGAGTGAGGGTTACGCACATATGACGTGTTCACATTGTGTAAGGGCGCACATACAATTATTTTTGGGTATAATATTAGGAAGCTAGAATGTGGGTTTTCCAGATTGTGTACGCTATGATGCGCAGATGTTTATCTTTTGGGTTATGCACATTATATTATTTAGCACAGATTATGGTTTGTTCATATTGGTAGTTTAGTTTGATGGATGGTTGGTCGTGAATTAACGGGTGACGGGCGTGCACAGCATTCTGTCTGAAGTTAGCTAGAATATTTTTTGGGGAAATATTATGATATGTTTTGCTTGCAATTCTGTGTAATATATGCATATTGTGATGAATGATGTGCTTGTCTGCAAAGTATGTTGATTGTTTTATTTCTCTGAGATATGCATGAACATCAGTCAGGTGTGCATGAGTGGAAGGGGTTAAAAATATGCATGACAGGGTTTTAGAGTGATGTGGGATGCTATAGCGATCTCGAGTTTACCCTTGTTGTACAGTGATCCGGACATGTGTCCGTGGATGTTGGTGGTTGTTTATTATTTTGTTTACATCCTTTTTACTTCGTAATTGAGTTATAGGATGTGTTGGGCAGGTTTGTTACAGGTTGGTTGAGTTTAGAAACCAAAACTAGTTGCCCAGGTTTTGGCCTGTACGCTCGAGCGGGGGTTTTGGCGCTCGAGCGGAGATTACACCCATTCAGTATTTTCCTGTGCAGCGTTGTACGCTCGAGCGTGGTATTGGCCGCTCGAGCAGGGTTGTCTGAGTGCCGCTCGAGCGTAGAGTTGGAAGCTCGAGCGGAGGCCTGGTTCTGTATAAATGCTGGGAGAGTGCATCCGGCGCTCGAGCGGAAGTTTGGACGCTCGAGCGGGAGTCTGTGAGTGACGCTCGAGCGGGCGACTGGGTTTAAGTCCCGAAATTGTGACTTTTCAAATCACTTTTTACTTTCTCTTCTCTCTCTTACTTTTCCAAAATCACCATTGTTGAGCCTCTCACTCTAGACTCTACCTTCTCTCTAGGTTTTGATCTAGTAGGAGTGATTTGCTCACCTTTGGCCTTTACAAAAAAGTTGTTGATCGTCGAGAGCTTCATTTTAATCTGAAAATCTCGGGTTGTGGAGCACGTTGGGTTTTGTCGTCTTCTCCCTTGGAACTCCGTTTTAATCTGAAAATTTCGGGATTTGGAGCACGTTGGGTTTTGTCGTCTTCTCCTTTGGGACTCCGAATTTGAGGTAGGGATATCCTACTCCTCTCTATGGATTTTGTCTTAAAATTTTAGTATTTTGAGACGTTGGGGTTGGTTTGGTAATTTGGTAAAAGTTTGGGGCTTTTGTGCAATTTTACAAAAGTTGGGGTTTTAATCATAATAAACCTAGATGCATGACTGGAGTAGAGAAATGGAATGAATGTTGTATCATTGATGAAAATGGGACCTAAGGGTTGAAATGGTAATTATGGAAAATGGCCTAATTACATTGTTGATTAATTTGGATAATTAATGGTGAGAAATGAGGAAATGAAATGTTGATTGTATATCCATTGTGCATTTATTTTCTGTATAGAAATAACTGCTTTGGGCTATCGGTGGAGGATAGTCGTGATTGTTGTAGACAATGCATGATGATTAGGCAAACTGAAACTAATCAATGGAATGTGTCATGGAACTTGACGGTTGATAGAATACATTAACTGTATGTATTGAGTGATTGTATATAGAACCAATGTGTTTGTATACGTTGTGTGTAGAGGAGGAGATGGGGGATGTACTCCGCGGTTTAGGGGAAGATGGGGGATGTACCTCTAAACCGGATAGTGTTGAGAGAAGATAGGGGATGAACTCCATAGATACAGCTCATATGCTTGTCTAGAGAAGTGAAGATAGAGCTCATATGCTTATCTTTGTGAAGTGTGGATATAGCTTATATGCATATCTGCGGATATTGTTGTTATACATATCTGTTGTAGTATGTGGATATAGCTTATATGCTTATTTGATAAAGTGGATATTGTTGTTATACATATCTGTTGAGAATGTGGATGTAGCTTTTATGCTTATCTGAATGTGAGATATAGTTTTTATACATATCTGTGGAAATGATGATAGAGCTAGCATGCTTATCTGTTGAAAAAGGGAAAATGAAAGATAACTTAGACTCATAAGTTGTATGACATAAATGTGTAATTTATGTGAATGTATCTGTGTTAGCCATCTATCAATTGCTAATCTTTTAGTCATTGTTCATGGTTGATTTAGTATATTTCTACTGGGCTGTGGCTCACCCTATAAGGGAATATCATTTTCAGGTGCAGGAAGCATGCCACCTCCAAGGACATAGCTGGAGGCTAGAGGCGGACATACTTTTGTCGCTTAACTTGTGATGTATTACATGTAACTTCAAGCCAAGGGCTTAATGTGTAAACGAGTTAGTACTCTTTTGTTATAACCAAGTGTTAACTTGGAAAGCTGTAAGCCCGTAGGGCATTTTGTTTTGATGTTAACATGTAATACTTATGTAATGGAATTCTAATGAATAAAAGAATGTGGTTAGTTTATATGTAAATGCATGTCTTATCTGATGGGTTTAATGTTGTTATTTTGAGGGCGTTACAGATGCTGTTATTTGAGGTAGTGTGTATGTCGTACGACTTTGAGTACACGGGTGGCATATTGTAATTCGTTATTGGCAACAGTGGTGATGTTAATTTGCGGGAGTGTGGTGTAAATGGGTGTTCTAGTAACTGTTAATTGGAGTTAGAGAGGCATCGGTTTTTATGTGGGATGTACGTTGTACGTAAGTTACATAGTTGTGTATTTTTCGCATTATGGGATGTCATGTACGATACAAAAAGTTGTGTGTGACTCGAAGGTATACAAGTGTATGAAACTAGAATGTTACTGGTTGATGGGTAATGTGTCAACCAAAGCAGATTGACATTGGTTTACTAGTTAAATAAGCCACACATTCCAGTCCATTCTGTTAAGTGAACATCAGTTAGGTGTCAATGAGTTTAAGGGACTGACTATCTGCATGATGCGTTTAGTGTGATGTGGGATGCTGTTATTTGACTTAATGTATATGTAGTACGATGATAAGTATGCGTTTGGTAAATTATAAGTAGTTAGCGTCGACGGTGGTGATGTTGATGTGGGGGTGTGTGGTGTGAATGGGAGTTTCGTTAACTGCTTATTGAAGTTAGGGAGGCCACGTTTTCATAATTTTGTCGTTGTGTGTACGTTTATATGTAAGTAAACTTACACGCACAGTACATGTAGGCAGGGTCTGCATTCATGTGTTGAAACACAAAAACTTTCATAAAATTAAAATATGGCTTAAGCAAAGGTACGTAGAATATATTTGAGAAAAAAAATAAAACATAACAAAAACTGTAAGCCAGTTGTACTTATAGGCGAACACAAACATTCATCTAATAAGTTATTAAAATACTAAACTGTATGTGACTATCATATTCTTACTTAATGGTATGCACGAAGTACACAACCACTTAAAACGTACTAAATATAAATTGGGATGTCGGACGTATTGGGATTACGTCTAAATAGGTTCTTTGCAAGTCTTCCTGTTGTGGTTTCCCATACGACCACACCTTCCACACCATATTTGTTGCACATTCTCACCTTTAGACGGTATTCTCTTCTTCTTCGGCGTCCTGGGTGGACATTTGACGTTTGGTGGGTAAATGACGTAGTCAGTGGGGTTGAATGGTGGTTTTTCAACTGTTGGTATTGGGTAGATGGTGGGCGCATACGTCAGTTGGTATTCGGACACATGGTACCAAGGTACGACTATGTCATCAAGGTTTTTCCCGCTTTTTCGCACTGAGACAATATCATGCGCACATGGGAACTCATTTATTTGCCACTGAAAACACGAACATGTACGGGTGGCAATGTCCACCATAACAGATGGGAATGAATGGACCTCGTACACGTCGTTATTCGCCTGACTCACTTTCCATGACCGACTTTTGTTGTAAGCTTCTTCCAGGTGGAATTCCATTGTGGGACAAATTGCGCCTGTCCATGTGTGGGCTGACAACCTCCGCTTCGCCATTTGTCGCATAATCTGACCTCTATTGCTGTCAACCATTCTGGTGATTGGTAAATTTCGTGCTTCGCGAATCCAAGAGTTGAATGACTCGGCGGCGTTGGAGCTCATTTCGCCGTATCGTCTACCTCTGCAAAGC